CAGAATCAACGTAAACAATCTCCCGGTCGGATCACATTTCGTTGCCTTACCTGCAGTAGACATGGCCCAGCCTAACCCCTAACCCTAACTCCGACCACCAACCTTACCCCACAACCCTAACCCCTAACCTCAACTCCAACCCACAAACTTCACCCCTAACCCTGACACCTAACCACAGTCCCTAACCCTAACCTCTAACAGATACGGCTACCAAATAGGATCTGCCTAACCTCCGAGATACCTTGACACTTTACCGTGAATCATTTTATTCTAGTGAATAGATTCGAGAATAAAGTTTTCGACAGAGGACTGAAAGAAATCAGCATGCAACTTGTGTGGCTGCTGCCAGCCAGCCTTCCGTTCCGCGTCAGACTTGTCGGGCCAGAGGGTTGAACAGCAGCACGAACAGGCGAGGAGAGCCGATTCAGTTGATTGACTGTTGGCATCATGGTGTCGCCGTGCCTCGGAGTGCCGAGATGCAATGTGCAGTAGGGGCATCCGGAGGAGACGCTGTGGCAGGCAGCGGAGATCGGCAGGACCCATACGTCGGAGCTCCTTTGTCTCAACGTAGGCAGGCCAACTATCCCGCATGTACGCTCTACCATAGACAGCCTGCAGCGGAAGACGACGGCTGTCTGGCAAGGAGTCCACCGAATCGGGGTTGCCATCCATAATCTGACCACCATTCCCCGATCCGTCCTCTGCGCCAATATCTCCCTCCAGGTCCCACACCACCAGGCCCTCAATCGAGTCTGAATGCATGAATTAAGCTTCCTTCGTATGTATGCGTACAATAAGCAGGTAGCAGGTGCGCCACGTGCACGACCAGGCCCCCCATACAAACACATATACCAGGATTTCACACAACGGGGGTTGAACGGCGTGACTCTCACATGCGTGAGAGGGCCGTGGAAGGTGCTGCTTCAGCCCGTCCCCAGCCCACCAGTCCGCCACTACACAACACACGACAGTTCGACCGTCGATTTCGACGATGTCCACCGTGTGCCCCACAGCTGCAGCAGCGGTGGGAGCAGGGACGGTGACTTACGCAGGGGTTTATAGTGCCAGTAGACTTGCGTAGCATCTACCTACACTCTCTCCTCCTCCTCCTCCGCCTGGGCCCGGTGTCAAGACAGAGTCAAGAAGACCGGAGACGGGGGAGGCCGCAGGTGGATGGCTCGGACGGATCTTCGCCTTGGCGCTCCACTCCACACCCCTGGTCCACACATCAATGGCCAGGATTTTGACCACAAAACAATGGGGTGGAGGCAGTGGTCCAGTTGTGCGACGAATGCCGACAACAGGGTCCGCCAGCGCACCCCGCAAATGTTGGCATTTGTTATTGCGCACAGATAACGCCTGCCAGAGTCCGATGTGGCCCCCGTGTTGGTCCAGCGCATCTAACACGCGGCCCGTTTTGAGGGCACACACACACACACACACACGCAGCATTTCACATCATCCCGCCTTCATGTTCGGGAGAAATTAATTGTCTAGGGGGGCATTCCGTGACCCATTGAAGTGAAAAAATGGTAGCTTGGCGGGACACCTCGGTCCCTCCCAGAACGGAAGGTCAGGCTGAAAGGGCTGCTTCCTGATGTGTCCTTTCAGGTATTCTTAGTAGTCTGTGGGAAATCGGAACTAGTTTCGTTTCATTCACCGCGCGTAGTGTGCGTGTGTGAGTGTGTAGGGAGTAGAGGTCAAGAAATAATGACGCCAGGCAACGGGCCATTTGACATACTGTCACTGTCAGCGTCCACAATAAGTGCATTCTAGAACAACAAATAAGCAGATGTGCCAGCAGCAGAATTGGCCAATCAAAATGTAACTAACCGTCAGTATTCAATTCCGATGCCGCCCGGATGGCTGACTGAGCGCCCTCTGACCAGCCCACGCAGGGGAAGGGCAGATGACCCAGCTGGCGCATCAAGTTCACGCTAACTCTGGCATCCTGCAGCAGGATCTGCGGATCACTCAAATCGCGGTCGGGGGGAATGCTGAAACCGCAGCCGGGCGGATCGAAGGCTATCGCGGTAAACCAAAAGTGGGTGGGCGGAGGGGGAAAGGCGGGCAAAAGTGCTTTGTGAGCAGGCTGCGGAAGGCGTTTCTGCTGTGCATGGTTTACACGAATGGGCACACGGCACAAAAGGGTTGTCCTGCAGTGACCATCTATAGACTAACTCCCTGGCGTAGGATATTTGCAGTAGTATAGCGGGCAGACCAGCCCCTAGTATAACCTGCTACTATTCCCACATTCAAAACTCTCCCTCGTGCTCACCACGAAGGCCAAATGAATGCATGTTGCTCAGGCCGACTTCAAACACATCCTCCTTCGCAAGTGACCTTCAGTGGCGCTACTGATTCGTTCTGACAGTGCTTGGTTTGCCGGCTACGCGACCGAAAGCGAATTTGCGCCTTCAAGAGGTGGAGTGATTGTTCATCACAGGCAGTACGACTACTCTACACATATGCGCGTGGGTGTATGATGAAGACAAGGTGCTTTACGGGGAAATGGTGTAAACTATGTGACCTAGCTAATGCAAAGTGTCGAAATTTACAAAAGACTGCTAATTACTCGCTAACCGACACCAATGCATGCACCCTATGTCTATATTAATCATAGATAATGGTAGATTGCTTAGAAATATGGATTTTTTAAGAAATGCAGAAAAATCCGAAAAAGTCAAAGATGGTTGCAATCGTGTAAAATCCAGTTCTAGATGAAAGGAATGTCTGTTCATACGGAAAACGAGTAAATTAAGCAGTACAAGAAGACTAACGTCTGAAAGTGGTCTTTTAGCTAATTTCACATTTAAATATCCTTTAAGAGGATTTCACTTGATTTCACCAACTGGGATGCCATGTTGCCAGGACTTTTCTTCCGTAAAAGTAATTCGGACGTCTTGTTTGTTCTAGATTACGCTGAATTTCAGGTCAGCCTTGAGTCATCCCTGCATACCTTGAGATTTTTTAGTGTTTTAGATGGATTGCATTATAAAGACGGACAGTGTATTATGTGTTTACTGAAACCTGTGAAATAAAATACTTATTGAAGGCATTTACCGAAGTAGTGAGTGTTTAGGCGTTTTTCCCATGAAACCTCGTCGTTCATGAAAATGAGCGTTCACAACAAAAGTTAACATGCTTCGATCACTAAGTTACCCTTTTAGGGAGTGCCTTAATAATGCATTCCGTTGACAGACTTTAGTGCATTTTAAATTTATGCACGGTGAGATCAAAAAAATTGGCGTCCATCTACCAATAAGCATGCGCTGTGAATTCCTGGAAGTAATTCAATCAACTGTGCCCTGCATCAATCGGCATCTCGGTTTAGATGCCACTCACAAGTTCCTCAGGGACAAATGAAAGCCAGTGTAGCCAATGTCGAGGGCATGAAGAAATGCAATTGACGTGCAATGGCGCAAGCTTCAGCCAACTGCAGAATCACATCTTCAACAGGGTTAAAGGGTGAACAGTTTTTGTGTGTGTCCCATAAGTCTGACAATGAGCTGGGGAACCTGTATCGAACATGTGCGCGCAATAAGGGTTATTGTGTTTCCAGATCATCTGGCCTACTGTAAACGAAGATGTTCTCATGGGCCACGTGAAGTCATCCCAGTCCTTGACGTTTTTCCTTCCTTGCGTGTGTGTATATGTTCAAGCTGAAGAAGTCATTTGAGGAAACAACAAACTTTTTTTCGGATATTTTAAAAGTTATTGCCCTAGGTCGTCGTTGTCGTCATCGTCGTCGTCGTCGTCAGACGTACAACTGGTGGGCGAGTTCGCAAAATTTTAAAAAGTGACGTCCGAGAGAATCTCTCCAGACTACACGCATGCATGAATTACAGTAGGTCTACTAACTGATGAAATGTCAACGGGAATTTCGAAATGCGTTTTCGTTTCGAAAAGATTAATTAAGTAGGTTTGTAAAACTAGTTAGTCTGCAACATGATAGTTCAGTCACCTCAGGATGCCGACGTTCGAATGAACTTCCATCCGGTTGCATACAAAAACTGCGCTCTGTAAAAAATGACTACTTACTTAGCATAACATTTTCTCATTGACTTTCGATGCCCCGAATAGTCCAATTATATTTAATGGAAAACATGCACAAAAGTATTCATTCTTCTGCTCATTCGGTAGATAATTACGCCTTCTTCTAATTTTATGCTCGAGGGAAAGGTATAATTCCGTTTTGAACGATATTGAAAGTCCAACAATTAGGAACTTTTTTAAAGCCGAATTATACCCTTCCTTCGAGCATAAATTTAGTAGATTTGTGTCCCATGTCCAGAGCATGTATGGATAATCGTGACAGGTGATCTCACTTCAGCATCCTCCATTGATGATCATAACTGTGTGTGTAGTGGCAGATTTGCTAGTTTCGTCACAACATCCTGCATTGCAGACAGCACAATGACTGTTGTATACGAATATTCACGCTTACCAAACTGGTCTACCCAATCTTGAGTGTGAACCAACAGCGTACATAGTGTAGTCGTCGGCTACTGGGCCACTTCTATATGATGTATCATAGTGCGACTTTCTATACCTATCTCCGTCTATATCTACACCAGTTGGTCAAAACACACAGTGTCAAGCAGCCCCAGGGAACGTACTCAGTTCAGTTAAGACGCTGTAGGAAGTCCATGTAATCAGTCCTGATGGAGCCGAATGGACCGGGAAATAGGAGGATATTGTTGGCTCCTCGGCCATGACGAAGATAGTGGATCTGCATGGAAAGAACCTCCTCGTAGGCACCAAACATGTGATTGATGTTGTGATCCCTGAGGTTAATTGGAGAGGAGGGAGGAGATGAGACGTTGCTGAAACTGCCGACGAAAGGACGCAGTAGTCGGCCACAGACGAGCAGTCCTCTGCGTCCAATAATACGATTGAGCATAAACATGCAATTTCTATAATGATTCAGAAAGAAGAAAATGTAGTTAGATGTTGTCAATTGTAAACCATCGACACATATGTCACTGCATTACCTGGTGCAGCATAAATGCAGATATATGTGTACAATTTACCCGGAATGACGGGAGGCATAGGCCTGTAAGACTACTTAAATATGATGACAAGATCAGTAAAGACATGCCCGTGATTTGCCATACTTCCATGCAGGACGCACCCCAGGGCCTTGCACACCAACTGCGGTGAGATGGATGCAAGGAGCAGTGTCACGTCGAAGAACATTATCGCCTCGTGAAGCTCCATTTTGGCTCGCGGGAATTAGTGAGGAATGGAGATGTCGATTTTACTGACGTCCCAGATGAACCTCAAAGAAGATGTGGGGTTTGTGAGTCATCCGGCTGACTGGGCTGCCGCCTGGGGCTACGATTAGTCGAGGTGAAAGGTGGGATTTGTGGATTTGGGGTAATCCCTAGCATCTGCCTGACGCCCTGCCGGTTGATTCTATTTAATGCCATTCGTCCAACCCATACCTGCACTGAGTCAGAAGAAGACCGTTTAACTGACTGATAACTAACCTGTCCTGCTACGGTGGCGGAGGCTGTAGCGGAGATGTTGTGTGGTAGGACAATCAGCGGTTGAGGCGAACTTGTGTGCCTGTGGCAGTCCGTTCTCCTAGTCGTCAGTCTGGTTATGCCCTCATGACGCCTTCTGTCAGCTTAAATATCACCTACCAATGGGATGCTCTTTGCAACACACGTGACTTGGCCACGTTGTGGAGACGGCTTCACGCCAATCGACGTTGTGTCATTTTCTGGTCGGGATTGTAGGCGGACAAAGGTCATGTGTGCACGCACGCACGCACGCACCGCCCTCGGCGCGGCGCTCAGGTGAACGGATGTCGTGATGTGAGGCCGGCGATACCATACCACCACATCCCTCCTCACCAGCATCTACTCTAAACACGACCACACTCGACACCACACGACAAAAGCACGTGGTTGGCACATCTCTCCTCGTAGGTGGCAAGTGTTTTCCTGCTCCTACTCCCTGCGGCCCCTCCGCTGCATGTGTGATCGGAGCCTGAGACTGTCAGGGTACGTTGATGATAATGATGACCCGTAAGACTGCCAACTGCCGATGGAACTCAAGCCTTGCATTCAGCCCAGCGTGCGTTTGTGCGCAGTGGCAGACTGGTGGACTGAGAGTCGGGCTGCAATGCCTCCTTCTCGACGTGACCTCTGACACTTTCACACCCACACACCCACCCACCAACACACACACACACAAGCATGAAATGCATGTCGCCAAACTCCCCCTCCCCATGTGTGACATCCTGGTGCCTATGTCTGGGGGGGGGGAGGAGGAATGGGTTAGGTCTCGTGTGTACAACGCCCAGACTAAGTGACTACATTTGTCAGTCACTGCGTCCACTGCCACCTGGCCAGCTCGGAGTGCGATTGAGACTGAGGAAGTAAGATAATCCTGGTCTCAGCACATATTCCTCCCTATAGCCAATCTGACGAGCTCCAAACTATCACGGTGCGCTATAAAGCCGTGGAATGGAGAATTGACAACTGACGGGATAACTCACAGCCAACCAGGCGTTGTGCGTCTGTGCGGGGAGGCCGACTGATGGGCTGAGGGTGAGGCTGAAATGGCTCCTTGTTAACACGGCATCTATGGCACTGTCACTCCGTGGGACCCGATTCGGGTGTAGTGGGTAAGCCGGGGTGCGGATGTTGGTCGTGTCAACCATCTGCGCCCTCTCCCACCTCCGGTCTTCTCGACTGTTTCATGAAAAATGGGTCCGATCAGGTGTGGCTATGCAGCTCCACCCGAAGTAAACAAACCCCAGCCATCTGTAATACGAGACCGGTGGTAGGGTCATTACCCTTCCTTCCTTAGTTAGGTCTACTACCGTACCGAGTGTGTAACTTTCAAGCTACCTTCGACAACCTCCACGGCAGACACAGACACAATCAACTTGCCTGGAGTGACAGCTCGCGGCGACTGCTTGCAGGGTCTTCTGTACGCACCTCCTCGGCAGCAAAGAGTGTCCAACCCAATCCGTCTTCCCTGACTTCTGATTCGGGAAAATTTGTCCTGTCGTTGACCATTGTGAACTTTCGGGTCAGCCTCAAATCACACCAGTGCTGACCTCCGACGTCCACGCTGCTAACACTTACCTTCTGGCGTATATTTACCTTCTCTGTGTTCTGTTTCCTGATTTTGCCTTCAACGATGTCTCCCACGGCACCCGCAGATGCTGCTATTTCTCTCCGTGGAG